AAAAAAAAAAAAAAAAAAAAAAACAGGAGGATTCACCTGAGGTTGGGAGTTTGAGACCACTCTGACCCACATGGAGAAACCCATCTATACTAAAAATACAAAATTAGCCAGGTGTGGTGGCCCATGCCTGTAATCCCAGCTACTCGGGAGGCTGAGGCAGGAGAATCGCTTGAACCCAGGAGTCAGAGGTTGCAGTGAGCCAAGATCATGCCATTGCACTCCAGCCTGGGCAACAAGGGCGAAACTCTGTCTCAAAAAATAAATACATAAAAATAAAAATAAAATATAAAGGCAGGTAGAAGGGACATGCAAGTGGCTTCTAATATACTGTCAATATATATTTTTCCTAGATCTGGTGGTTTGTTTCTTATGTTTCAAACTTTATATATACATTTTTATACTTTTTGGCATATATGGCATGTGTCACAATAAAAATATTTAAACATTTTAAAAGATAGGTTGGTGCCAGCTTGTAAACATCATATCTATCAAGATAAGGACTTTATTCTGCAGGCAAGAAGAAAGCAAAATAGACTTTAAGAGCATCCTCAGCTCAGCATTTTAGGAAGATTGAGTCTGGCCGCACTGCAAGGTAGGCAGAAGTCAGGGGAAGCCACAGACAGAGGCCCCCTGAGTATAGACACTAATGAAGAAGGCCTTGTCCAGCCAGCCAGGTGTGGGGAGGGCTCAGGAAAGGAATCAGAGACCTGGGTGAGGTGGAAAAGACAAGCCTTGATGATTCACTGAAAGTAATAAGCAAGGGAAATTTAGGATCATACTAACATTTATGGATAAGGAAATTCCATTAACCCTTGCTGAACAGTAAAAATGGTTTGAAAAGGAATCTATCAATTTTCTGAAACTGCAATAATATCAGTGTTGTTATTGGCTGTAACATAGTCCAATCTCTCTTGTATTTTTCCTAATTGTATAGGAGTTTCTACAGTTTTAGTTGGCTTCTCTGTCACTTCTCAAGCCTGTTAGTTACATACTATATATGACTAATATCTGTGGCATCCTCATATTATCAAGCAATTATCACACTTTCTGTACACAAAGGCCTTTTTTTTTTTTCTGGGTCTTTAGCATGTCTCTGTGGGGTAAATTTTTTTTCTCTTAAATATATAATACAGACAGGGTCTCACTGTGTTACCCAGGCTGGTCTAAAAAAATTTCCCCAAATTATAATTTTTAATCTGCTCTGTCAACTAAAACATTTGAAGATGAACAGCCAAGTACTCTGTTTTCCTTTAAAAATGTAGTCATCAAGCTGGGTGCAGTGGCTCATGTATGTAATCCCGTGTAGAAAGCCAGAGTAGCCCACCCGCTCTGGAGGGATCAGCAGCAAGGCTGCTGCGAACTTTGGGTGAACTCGAGTGGCGAAACCGTAATAGGAGAATGTGTGTGTCTCGGAGAAGAGCAGAGAGGCCTAGAGAGAGATAACCAGCTCTCACTGACCTTGCTGCAAGACAGTTGTTAGCTGAAGTATGTTAACTGAAGTATGAGAATCACAACCACAGGCTGTTCTAAGAAACTGCACCCTCCCCCTGCTATGTGCTTTGTAAACATATAAAATAAAGTACCTGAGGCAGGTCGGGGCCAGAGAGACTGACGTCCTCACTTTCCTGGACTGCCTAGCCGAGCTTTCTATATGTCTGTCTCTGTGCTTTTCTTTATTCCCCACCGTTCCCTCTTAGGTCTTTGAACACTTGGGCAGCCCGGGATGCAGCTTGTACCAGAATCCAGCATTTTGGGAGAATGAGGCCAGAGGATCGTTTGAGCCTAGGAGTTTGAGAGTAGCCTGGGCAACCTGTCTCTACAAATAATAATAACTAGCCAGACATGGTGGAGTGCACCTGTGATCCCAGCTACTCAGGAGGCTGAGGCAGGAAGATTGCCTGAGCCCCGGAGGTTGAGGCTGTAGTGAGCCGTGATCATGCCATCGTGCTCTATCTAGCCCAGGGGACGGAGCAAGACCCTGTCTCAAAACAAAACAAAAATATGTGGTCATCAGTTTACATATGTTTCACCCAGTTTATAAGAATTTTGGCCTAATTGCGTTGCTTCTTCATGTTCCATTGAGATTTGTAATTCAGTCCCAACATCTACTTCTCTAGTCCCTAACAAACCTAAAATGCCCTCCTCAGTTTGTAATTTGAAATGTATGTCTTTAATTTTTGTTTCAACTAGTAGGAATGGCAGAATTTTAATCTTAATAATTCTGACTTCAGTTTTCTGCTTAAAAGTGTTGAATCTGACTCCTAGGACTTCCACATGCTCTATCTCCATGTCATTGATAGAAACAATTTTTGCCCATCCTCATAAACATCCTCTCATGAGGTCAGACATCAGAAGGATGAAAAACTCCACCAAAACAGAAGGACACAGTACTCAGGGCACTGCCAGTTCCTGTTTTAACAGTGCTCCTTGCAGAGGTTATTGCATATGGCTCCTCCCACCATCCCCCCTATCTCCCTTCTGGCAACAGACTCATGCCTCTGACCATAAGATTGAGAAACGCCCCAAGTGTGACCATGAGACCTCTTAGATTTCATACACTGAAGTTAGGAGAGAGATCCACCCTTCCCTTTCCTCAGGACTGCCAGAGCCCATGTCACTTGACATTTTCTGTGACTGAAAGAATGAAGCCTCCAAGACAAGTGGAGGTGAGAGGTGAGGAGTATTCTGAGAGACAGGAGTTCCAGGTGCTAGTCCCCAAAGTTTCTTGAGTAACCTGATCCCACCAGAACTTCCTCTGAGATGATGAGCTATTCTTCCATGTTTCCCATAAATTCATTCTTTTGTTGTTGCTTAAGATGGTTTGGATAAGGTTTTCTTTCCTATAACCAAAAGAATCCTAAATAATGCAGAAGTGAAAAGATCCCAGTCATGAAACTCCCAGAGGGCAGAGAGTTTTTATCAAAACTCAGGCCTCATAGGTGAAGAAAAAGCTTTGTTACTATTAGAAAATCCTGCCAGGGACCACAAATAACAGTAAGTGGGTGGGATGGACCTAGGGAGTCTTCAAGGTGAGGACAAAGTTTTTCATTATCAGTCTCCAAGAGCCAAAGATTCATTCACTTTCATACACCCAACTGTGTCTTCTCTCCTGTGAAAACCCAGGTTTTTAGACTCCTAATCCATATTTGAACAATGGTTAGTAAAAGGCCAACTCTCTTCAGTCTTACGTAGTAGTTAAACAACAGTGTGTGTGTGGCTATGAAGTCTCGAACAACAGGCTAGGCATGAACTTTCAGAAGTTAGCCTTGTCACCACTGCCAAGGTCAGCCTAGCCAACCCTACCCAGTTTCCTCTCTGTTTGATATTGGATTCACTTTGGTTACTGGTATTTGCACTGGTTAAACTTGGATTGGTTGCAATAGTGCACATCAAAGCCAACAAGGAAGACAGCTGAAGAAGCAGAGAATTCCTGAAGGAAGAATGACAAAGAAGATGAAAATGACTACAACACTTGATATTTATTTAAAAATTACATTTCAAACAGGTTTAACAAATGAGAATGTTGTTCAGGAGCCTAAAGTACGGCTTATGCTGGTGGTAGGAGATCAGGAAAAAAAATAGAAAGTAAAAAATAAAAAATTAAGTGCAGGTTACTCTATTGATCTCATTTCTTTATCCCAGTCCTTGCCCGACTACAATTTATTTTACAAATCCGCTTACTTCCAAGATGTGGTTCTAACAGAATTTATAAGAGAAATCGATTCTTTGCCTTCTATGAAGGCAGAATTCTAACGTAGAGTAAGAACAGCTGTGATGAGCAAATGAGAAGCCAATGTATCAAATACATGCCTAGAAACTAACAGTGCTCAAGGGAAACAGTTGAAATTGATAGATATGATGGTCCTAGATTCAGGACCTACCCCAACTTCTACTCTAAAAGCCCCAAGAACACTTACCAGATGAGAGAAATAGTGTGGCACTGCATAAAAGGATGAAAGACAGGCAGAGAAGGGTGATTTTCACTTTCTTTTGCAACTTATTTACTTTCAAAGTATGCAGAGTGCAGCAGTAATGCAAGGCACACACAGATAACTGTTACTCAAAAAAAAAGGAAAAAAGGTGATGACTCATCACCTAGCTTAGTCTACTGCCTAAGGGTAATTCCCAGAACCTTAAGTTGTCATTTTAGCTCCTCCTACTTTAGTTTCTTTCCCCCCCACCCCCCACTGGATCCTCCTTTTCCTTAGCTGTCCCTGAGCAGTTTCCAAGACACTATGTCTAATGAAATGCCACCGTGCCCAGAACCAGGACTATTGATGGAACCCCCTTCCTCCTATTCCTTACTGATAAGGATAAAGGTGATTGCACAGATAAGGTGCATTTCCAGGTATCATGAAAGAAACAGGGAAGGCCAGGAGTATGAAGCTCAGGAAGGAGAGAGGAAGGGCGCTAATCATGAAAACTTGACCAAATATGAAGTAGTCTAAATTAGGGAAGAAGAGAGAAGAAAGGCTAACAGCTCTACACCTCCCTCCTGAGTCTGAGTGCCCAGAGAGCTAAAAGATGCAGTTTAAGAGCTTTAAGGCAGGAACGAAGGGCAGCTCAGGGGAAGCTTAGGAGTAGAGGCAGAAGAATTCTGCGAAAATAACTAGAATAATGAGTCTACCTGAGCTGGTATCCCTAGAGGGCCCCTGGATACGATATGCTTTGAAATGAGCCACTACTACTAGTAGGAATGTTTCCTTCAGGTATACTAGGGCAGAAAAAGACACTGACAATTTCTGGAATGGACTGGATTGGAGCTGGACCCTCACTTGATTTAGATAGAAGAATCCAACATGTGACCTCACCACTGCAGATTACAAAGAGAGCACTGAGCAGAGTAGGGAACTGCCTGAGATGTCTGTCTTCACTCAGGTCAAGAGGTTGAAGGCCAACCACAGAATGGCAGAACCAGTGAGAGTGCAGGTGAGGGTTAGAATGTCATAGAGTCTAATTATTCCAGGCTTCACACAAACAAGCACTGGGTAAAAAAAATAAAAGGGGTCAAATGACTTAGATTTTCTCAGTCCCTTTGGGATTTCTTCCATTCTTAAACACTCACTAACGCCAGTCTCCTTGTCTTGACTCCTACTTAGTTTCCAGGACTTTCCCTCCTTCTCATACCCCAACCAAATCCTTTTGGGGTCACAGACTGACCCTGTGTCCCTCACCAGTAAGAACTGAGATCTTTCTCTTTGATCTTCTTATTTGAATCACTTACTTGAACACAATCATACACATCCTTGTATTGCTACTAAGCTTTTCCTGGGCATATATCTTGTCTCTCCATCTAGATTAAAAGTCCCTAGAGGACAATCAGCCTGAATTCTTAATTTCCCACCACATTTGTCACAGTGCTTTACATGTAGCAGGATCAAAATGAGTATCTGTTAACAGCAAGGAAAAATAATAAGCCACACCACATGTCAAATACATTCCTTGGTGATGTCAAGAGAAGTAAAAATTTTTTCTGATGTTCTGTAGACTCAACATTCCCCCTCCTGAATTCTCCCCTGGAATCACAGCCTTTTTTTTCACTTCTACTGCTTATGTTCCCAGGTTACTTTCCATTTTTTCTCTTAACCTTCTTTCTGTTTCTGCCTGCCAGAAATGTTCTTCAGCTTTCATCGTTTGCTTACACTCTGTGTTCAACAGTACCTTTTTACACCGAGGCCCATCCTAGCCTTCTCCTCAACAGTAGAACCCTGTGATTCCTGCCTCTCTCCCTATTGGCAGGAAATTTAGTGACATGGTTAAGTATGCGAACTCTGTCCCCCAATTGTGAGATCCTACCTTGCTCCCCATGTCTTAAAAATGTCACCCCCATACCCTTCAATACAGCATGGCTCTGTTCCTCTTGGCACATGCATGCCCTTAAAACTATAGCTTGTGCCCTTAGTTCTAATTTCTAATACTGACTAGGCAGGAATACTGTGTTCCTGTACTAGAATGAAGGACACTTGAGAGAGAACACAGAATAATCTGGGAAATATCTGGGAAGATGTAAGTGGAAGCCAGTTATGTGTTAAAGAGCAATGGGATATACTACATCCTTTGCACTCTACCAGAATGATGTTAAGATATATAATGCCGATGAAGGAATTACCAAATAAGTGGGCAAATGAACATAAGCTGAAAAACCAGACTGTTGCTAAAAATCTCTGTTGATGTTTACTAAATGTAAGCTCTAGGAAATTGGGATGATTTTTGTGTATTTTTTTTTTCTTTGAGATGGAGTCTCGCTTTGTCACCAGGACGAATAGGTATGTGGGCACCTCCTTTCTGGGGCTCATTCCAGAGACAGAAACAAGCCTACAGTTAAAGTGCCTGTCTCTCAGAGTTATTGGCTAGCATTTGCTAAGCCCCTGGAGGTGACAGATAGCAAAGCAACGGTTTGAAAAGTGTGTACTTTGAGAGTGCAGGCATTTGCCCCAGCTATCCTTCCTGGCTCAGTGCTGAGCAAATGATGATAAATTCCAGCTCACAGCTTCTGCTTGAGGAGAGAAAGGATTGGACTACCTATCTAACATCCCAACTTTTCCAGCTGCTACATGAGGGACTGGCTCCTGTCTTGCCCGTTTTAGGATACTAATGGGACTTGGCATACTCTAGCCCTCTGGGGGCCACTAAGAACAAAGATGATGGTCTAGATGACCATGAAGATTTGAGGGGGACCCAGGCAGGATCTCTGGCTGGACTAACTGGTAAGTCTCTTTTATATTAGGCCAGTCTGTGAAGACTGAGAGAGGTGGTTGTTTAATGTGAAGAAACCAATACAGGATCAAGAAAAGTGAAGAAATATAAAAATGTGCTCTAAATAAAAGAAAAAGACAACTCTCCAGAGATTGACTGTAATGAAATGGAGATAAATGATTTACCACATATGAGAATTCAAAATAATGGTCATGAAGATGCTCACTGGACTGGGTGCGGTGGCTCAGGCCTGTAATCAATCCTAGCATTTTGGGAGGCTGAGGTGGGCCTAGGTCAGGAGTTCAAGATCAGCCTGATCAACATGGTGAAACCCCATCTCTGCTAAAAATACCAAAAAAATTAGCTGTGCATGGTGGCACACACCCATAATCTCAGCTACTCGGGAGGCTGAGGCACGAGAATCGCTTGAACCTGGGAGGCAGAGCTTGCAGTGAGCTGAGATCTGGCCACTGCATTCCAGCCTGGGCAACAGAGTGAGACTCTGTCTCAAAAAAAAAAAAAAAAAAAAAAAAAAAGATGCTCACTGGGGTCAAAAGATAAATTCATGAACAAAATGAGAATTTCAACAAAGAGTTTAAAAAATTACATAGTAACAAACAGAAATCACAGTGTTAAGTATACAATAACTGAAGTAAAAATTCAATAGCGGGGTTCAACAGCAGACTAGACCAAGCAGAAGAAAAGGATCAGTGAACTTGAAGACAGGTCATTAAAAATCATACAATCAGAGGAGAAAAAAGAAAAATTGAAAAAGAGTCAACATAGCTTAAGGGACTTATGGGACACTGTCAAGCTGACCAACTGACAATACAATAGTAATAGATTTCAATACCCCACTTTGAATAATGGATAGAACATGTGGCATGTGGACAGAAAAATCAATAACCAGCTAACTTGAAAAGCACTATAGACCAAATAGACCTATGAAACATATTTAGAACTTTTCACTCAATAGCAGGAGAACATTTCAGAAGCACACATGGAACATTTTCCAGGATAGATCATATGTGAAGTAACAAAACAAGTCTCAACAAATTCAAAAAGACAAATCATACCACATGTCTTTTCCAAACAGAATGGAATGAAACTAGGAATTAACAGCAAGAACATGGTAAAATTCACAAACATATAGAAACTAAATAACATAATCTTAAACAACCACTGGTTCAGTAGGAGATCAAAACAAAAATCTTCAGACAAATAAAAAAGAAAATACAACTTATCAAAACTTATCAGATATAGCAAAAGCAATCCTAATAGGGAAGTTTATAGTGACAAATGCCTTCATTAAAAAAGAAATCTCTCAAATAAATAACTCAGATTTCAAAAGACTGGAAAGAACAACTAACTAAATCCAAAGTTAGCAGAAGAAAGAAAATAATAAAGTTCAGTACAGAAATAAATCAGAGACTAGAAAAAATAGAAAAATAATAAAGAGTTTTTTTAAACATAAACAAAAAATCCTTAGCTAGATAACTAAAGGAAAAAAGAGAGATTCATAAATAAAATAAAAAATGAAAGAGGGCATTACAACAGATACCTCAGAAACAGAAAAGATCAATTATTATGAACAATTATATGGTCAACAAATTAAATAACCTAGAAGGAATGGATGAATTCCTAGAATAAACAGCTTACCAAGCCTGAATCAAGACTAGAAAGCCTAAACATTTTGATAACAAATAAGGAGACTGAAGTAATAATAATTTTTAAAAACCTCCTGTCATAGTCTGTTTTGTGTTGCTTTAACAAAATACTTGAGGGCAAGCAATTTATTTTAAGATGGTAAAAGAGGTTTATTTAGCTCAGTTTGGTAGGCTGCGAAGTCCATAAGAAAGCATCCCATCTGGCAAGGGCCTTGTGCTGCTTCAACTCATGGTGGAAAGAAGAACAAAGGGGAAATGGGTGTACAAAGAGACAAAACACAAAAGGCAGCCTCACTTTATAATAACCTATTCTCATGATAACTAACTCAGTCCCAAGGGAATGAGATCTCACTCCAGTGAGACTGCATTAATCCCTTCATGATCCAAATACCTTTTAAAAGTCCCACCTATTAGCACCATTACATTGGCAATTAAATTTGAGTGTGAGTTTTGGTGGGGACAAACCACATACAAACCATAGTACCTCCCAAAAAAGAGAAGCCCAAGACCAGATGGTTTCAGAGCTGAATTCTACCATATATTAAAAATAATAATAATACCAATCCTTCTTAAACCTTTCCAAAAAAAAAAAAAAAGAGAAGTAGAGGTAATATCACTCTGATATCAAAGCTAGACAATGACTCCACAGGAAAACTAGACTACAGGCCAATATCTCTGGGTGAACATAGATGCAAAAATCCTCAATAATATAATAGCAAACTGAATTTAACAACACATCAAAAGCATTATACACTGTGACGAAGTGGAATTTATCCCTGGGATACAAGGGTGGTTTAAAATACCCAAATCTATCAATGTGATATATCACATTAACAGAGTGAAAGATAAAAATCGCATAATCATAGACGCAGAAAAAGCATTTGACAAAGTTCAACATCCACTGATGATAAAAACTCTCAACAAAATAGGTACAGAAGAAAATTACCTCAACACAATGAAGGCCATTTATGAATATTCCACAACATCATAATCAATAGGGAAAAACTGAAAGCTTTTCCTCCAAGATCTGGTGCAATACATAGATTACCATTATCTCCATTTCCTTTTTTTTTTTTTTTTTTGAGACGGAGTTTTGCTCGTTACCCAGGCTGGAGTGCAATGGCATGATCTTGGCTCACCACAACCTCCACCTCCTGGGTTCAAGCAATTCTTCTGCCTCAACCTCCTGAGTAGCTGGGACTACAGACGTGTGCCACCACATCCAGCTAATTTTTGTATTTTTAGTAGAGACAGGGTTTCACCATGTTGACCAGGATAGTCTTGATCTCTTGACCTCGTGCTCCACCCACCTTGGCCTCCCAAAGTGCTGGGATTATAGGCGTGAGCCACCATGCCCAGCCTACCATTATCTCCATTTCTATTCAACATAGCACTGGAAGTACTAGCAAAAGCAATTAGACAAGAAAAAGAAATAAAAGGCATCTGAATTGAAAAAGAAGTAAAACTGTTTGCAGGTGGTATAATTCCATACGTAGAAAATTCTAAAAACTCCACCCAAAAAGCTATTAAAATTAATAAATAAATTCAATAAAGTTGTAGGATATAAAACAAACATACAAAAGTCAGTTGTGTTTCTTTACTCCAGCAACAATCTGTCTAAAAAGAAATTTTTAAAAATATCAACTATGATTGGTACACAAATTTAAATACTTAGGAATAAATTTAACCAAGGATGTAAAAGATTTATAAACTGAAAACTGTAAAACACTGATAAAAGAAACTGAAGACGAAAATTAAATGAAAAGATTTATAGATAGAAATAATATTGTTAACATGTCTATAATACTCAAAGCAATATTCAGATTCAACACAATATCAAAATTTCAATATTTTCCACAGAAATAAAAATATTCTAAGATTTGTATAAAACCACAAAAGACCTTAAATAGCCAAAGCAATCTTGAGAAAGAAGAACAAAGTTGGAGGCATCATACTACCTGACTTCAAAATATACTATACAAAGCTATAGCAATCAAAACAGCATGGCACTGACATGAACAGACACATAGACTGATGGAACAAAATAGAGAGCCCAGAAATAAATCCTCACATTTACAGTCAACTGACATTTGACACGGGTCACAAGAATACACAGCCGGGAAAAGATGGCCTCTTCAATAAATGGTGCTGGGAAAACTGGGAACCCACATTTAAAATAATAAAACTAAACCCTTTTCTTACACCTTATATAAAATTTAACTCGAAATAGGTTAAAGACTTAAACAGAAGACCTGAAATTGTAAAACTCCTAGAAGAAAACACAAGGGAAAACCTCCCTGACACTGGCCTTCGTAATGATTTCCTGGAAAGGACACCAAAAGCTCAAGAAACAAAAGCAAAAGTAAACAAGTGAGACTACATCAAACGAAAAATCTGCACAGAAAAGAAAACAATGGGCAAAATGAAAAGGCAACGATTGGCTGGGAGAAAATATTTGTAAACCATATATCTGATAAGGAGTTAATATCCAAAATATATAAGGTACTCATACAACTCAAAAGCAAGAAACCAAATCTGATTAAAAAAAAAATAGGTAAAGAAACTGAAGAGATATTTTCCCAAAGAAGACATAAAAATGGCCAAAAAATGCTCAACATCTCTAATCATTACAGAAATGCAAATCAAATCCACAATGAGACATCGCCTCACACCTGCAAGAATAACCATTTAAAAAATATAAAAAATAACAAGTGTTGGCAATGTAGAGAAAAGGGAACTTCTTTTTTTTTAAATCCACTTGATATTTTATATTGTGGGTGGGAATGCAAATTAGTACTGCCTTTACGGAAAACAGTAGTATGACCGTACTTCAGAAAATTACAAATAGAACCACCCTATGATCCAGCAGTCCCTTTTCTGGGTATATATTACGGAAGTAAAATATCTTGCACCTGCAAATCACTAAGCTAAACGGAACAGTCAAGCTGGAAACTGCTCAGGGCAGACCTGCCTCCCATTCTACTCAGTCTTCCCTCTGCTCACTGAGACAGATGCAAACTCTGATTGCCTTCTTTGGAAAGGTTTATCAGAAACTCAGAAGAATGCAACCATTTGTCTCTCACCTACCTGTAACCTGGCAGCCCCCTCCCTGCTTCGTCCTGCCTTTCTGGATAGAACCAATGTACTTCTTACATATATTGATTGATGTTCTCCTGTCTCTCCAAAATGTATAAAACTAAGCTGTGCCCCATCCACCTTGGGCATTTGTAGTCAGAACTTCCTGAGCCTGTGTGACGAGGTGCGTCCTCAACCTTGGCAAAATAAACTTTCTAAATTAACTGAGACCTGTCTCAAATTTTGGGGGTTCACATCCCCAAAGGAAATAAAATCAAGATCTTGAAGTGATAACTGCATGCCCATATTCATTGAAACATTATTCACAATAGCCCAGATATGGAATCAACCTAAGTGTCTGTCCACCAACAAATGGATAAAGTGTATGTGGTATCTATACACAATAGAATATTATTCATCCTTAAAAAACAAGATCCTATTTGCAACATGGATAAACCCGAATGTCATTAAGCTAAGTCAAACAAGCCAGACACACAAAGAAAAATACTGGTTATCTCATATGTGGATTCTAAAAGAGTCAAATACATAGAAGCAGAGTAGAACAGTGGTTACCAGGGGTGGGGACGTGTGGAAATGTTTGAGATGTTGGTCAAAGTGTACAAAGTTGCAGTTCTGTAGGATGAATAAGTCTAGGGACGTCATGCAGAGCATAACTATAGTTAATACTGCCTTGAGCACTGGAAACCGCTGCGAGTACACTTCAGGTGCTCTTACCACTTACACAAAATACTAACTGTGAAGAGATGTATTATGTTAATTAGCTTGACTGTAGAAATCATTTAACTGTGTACATGTATCAAAACATCATGTTGTGCCCCTTAAATACATAGTTTTTATTAAAAAAAAAAAAAAACAACAAAAACCTGGCATTAAAAGGCCAGCTAATTCTGCCTTAAATCTCTCCTTCCGTTCCACATTGTCCATCCATAAGAAAGACGCCCGATACTCCGTGTAAAGCACACGCGCCTGCTAGAGATAGCCCTGTCCCCATCCTCTGCTCGCAAACCCTCTGAAGCACAGGTCTTTAGCCTGTGCTACAGAAAATGTCTACATTTCCTGCAAAACCTAGTTTAACGCAGCGTAGACACCCAGCGTTTCCGAGCCCGGTCCCGGGCCTGCTTCGGATGCTTTGGCCCAGAGAGGTTCAGCTCCCAGGTCCCCGGGAAGAAATGGGGCCCCGCTGCAGGGCTGCTCCTCGCAGTCTTTAGCCGCGGAGAGCGCAGCGCCACTTCCTTCCAGTGGCTGCGTCCTTCGGTTTCGAGCACTTTTGTGAAGCAGGAACGGACGCGAGCGGAACGGAACAGAACAGAATGGCTGTGGTAAATCCCGCTCGAAGGATTTCGTGATCCTCTCGGGGACTCCCCCACCCGCACTCCGCGCGCAGAGGCTGAGCTGCTCGGACGCAGAGAGGGGGACCCAGGGAGAGGCCAGGGAGGGCTCGGGAAGCCGCGCCGCAGCGGCGCCCGCCCGCCCACACGGCCGCCCCTGGGTCCTCCGAGAACGCCGGAGGCGGAGCGAGCGTCCGCCCTTCCCAAGTCACCTTGGAAAGAAGTATTTGCTTTCGCTTCCGCAAAGTAGGCTCCGCGCTTTCGGTACCAGGGGCTCCCGTGGAGTCCGCAGCTGAACCCGGTCCGCCTTCGCACGCGTCCGGGCCAGAGGCGGCCCCGACACTCAGGGCGCGCGCCCGGGTAACCCGTGCTGTGAAGACCGGAGCGAACACGCCCGAGGTTCCCGTGTAGGCCGTGTAACGAATGACCGGAAGTGGCAGCCGGGTGCTCCAGTGGCGCAATCGGTTAGCGCGCGGTACTTATATGGCAGTATGTGCGCGAGTGATGCCGAGGTTGTGAGTTCGAGCCTCACCTGGAGCATTGTTTTCCAACCCAAGAAAGCACCACTTGAAGTGACTTTCCCCCTGTAATCCTACTACACCGTCTTTAACGTGTTTGGAGTTGCGTACAGACTGTATTGTTATTGGTTTCCTTAGCCCTTTTAGAATCAAGCAACGCCAAACACCAAGGAAATCCCTTGCGCTGCAGACTTAGGTGGACCCTTCTGTCTCCACTTTGCATGCCGACCTCAAGTAAAGAACATCGTCTCGTCTCTTTTCCTTTCTTTTCTCTTTTCTTTTTTCTTTTCTTTCTTTCTTTCCTTTCTTTCTCTCCCTCCCTCCCTCCCTCCTTCCTTCCTTCCTTCCTTCCTTCCTTCCTTCCTTCCCTCCTTCCCTCCTTCCCAGTAGACAGTAGAACAGCTCCTGGGAGAATTTACAACGAACTTCCTGAGGGTCTGGGAAGCTGAGGGCTGGAGCAGGGTTCGGAGAGTGAACAGGAAGGGCTTCTCCCCTCAGTCACTGTAGCCTCAAGGTATGACCAAGGTGGGGGGTCATTGTTTAGTCAAAAACGAAGCAGGTAGGAAGAGCAGCAGGTGGAAGGTTGGGGAGGTGGGGACAAACAGGAAATAAATGGTCGTTGTTACCTGTTTGAATCCAGAGAAAAATACCTGGCCCTCTAAGGGGGAAGAAGCCCCTCAGTGGGCTGGAGAGAGGAAGCCCTGGGATAGCCCCAGCACCAGGGGATCTGGCCGGGGCGGAGGAGAGGCCGAGGCCGGCGCTGGTGGAGGAAGCCGGCAGAGGCCTCCGGGAGCCCCTGGGTTACACTGGCTACTGTGGCTTGTGCCACTCTGTGTGTTCCCAGAGTAGCTCCTATAGGCGTAGTTCCCGTAGAATGGCGGCCACTGGCCCTGGTTCTGATAGTACTGGTTCCACTGCTGGGCATACTGCTGATACTGGTCACATCTGGGCCGAGGGTAGGTCTGTGCAGTGGAGGTGGTGGTGGGGGTAAGGGGACCGGGTTGTAACCGCCGTAGCTCCCAAGCTGTAGGCAGGTGGTGGTGGAGGTGGAGGTGGTGGGGCTGTGGAGCCCTGGCTGTAACCTCCCTGGTTGTAGGGTGGCTGTAGCTCAGCTGTGGAGGGCTGTGGCTGCTGACGGTAGGGATGCTGGTATTGGGCTGGTATTGGTGCTTGAGCCAGGGATGCTGCTGTTCTTATGGTAGGTACAAGCCCCTGGGGGTTTCGAGCAGGGCTGTAGCTGGGTGGTGGCGGTGGCTGCTGGGGTGGTGGCTGAGGTGGCGAAGGCTGCTGTGGTGGCGGCTGTTGCTGGGGAGCCTGGTTATAGCCGCCTCTGTTGTTGGAGTTGTTACCCCGGTTGTTGCTACCCCAGCGGTTCTGGCTGTTGCCACCATCTCCGCGGCTCTAGAAACCTCCTCGGTAGTTGCCTCCTCCACCGCTGCCTCGCCCTCAGTTCTGGAAGCTGCCACGGCTGCCTTCAGGTGGTCCTCAGTCGTGCTGGAAGCCACCGCCACCTCGGTTGGTTGTCGAAGCGCTTTTCAGGCAGTGGCCCAGCCTTGCGGCCTTCCTCGTTGTCCGGCGTCACTAGCTTGTCTGCTTCCTCCCGATGCAGCTCAGTGAACAGAACCTCATCCCGGAAGTCCCCAACATCTGGCAATGTGAAGCTGGCTTTCATTTCTAAGACCGCATGATCTGGGAGATGCTTCCCTTCCTCGTTGGTTCGCTTTATGGTTCGGCCTTTTAGGTCCGGTCAGTAGGACAAATTACAATAGCTTTGTGCTGGAAGCCTTCAAATGGTCTCATTTTTCGTCTCTGGGCTGACCCATAAACGTTTGTCTTATCTAGGATATAGTTGCGTCTCTTGCGGGCAGCAATCTGAATGATCCGATTGAGGCACTAGGTGGCCTGCTGGGTTAGAACGTCCCAGCTGCAAGCAGAGTTCCGCTGGCGGCCCGTCACCCGCATCTTATCCATGATGGCATTGGTACCCAGGATGTTGTACTTCTTGGAAGGGTTGGCGGCTGCATGTTTGATGGCCAGTGTGGTCTTGCCACCAGCAGGCAGGCCCACTATCATCAGAATCTCACATTCTGCCTTGCTCTTTGGTCCAACTGTGCCCTCGATCTGCTCACTAAAGCGCAGGTGCTGGCTAAAGGTAAGCCACAGGAGGACAGAACAGTAGGGCTCTGCCCTCTGTGTGAAGTTGAACTCTACTGCGCAACTCTTCACCAGGACATGAGGATAGAGGGCCGGACCTCGCCCGAAGGCTTCCTTCTGGATTCGGAAGGCAATGCCCATTCACTTTTCCGTTCTTGGTAAAGGAAAGTTCCACGTCATTTCCACATTAAAAGTCCAAAAAGCAGCCAATCACATAGTTCTCTGCAAACTTGTCTCTGCAGTTTTCAAACTGGCTACTGGCGGACTTCTTCCCAGTGTCGCCATAGCTGTAGGAGAAAGACGCTTCCCCTAGCTGGGTGCTGCAGGAATCCAGGGACCAGCTGATATGGACCATGGTAGTGTCAGGCTCTGTAGATGGAAGGTGCTTCCTGGAGATTTCCTCATTGATCTTCATCTCAGAGCAACACAGCTCCATCTGACCCCTTAGCTGGCTCGGGCTCCTGACCACAGGTATGCAAAGCCCTCAATTGTGAACGGATAGTCACTACTCTGATCTCGGGCCACCTTGAAGTGAAGATCACAGTTATATGTGTCAATAGTAACAAGGGTATCATAAAGTCATCTTCATCCTCTCATGAGGAGGCTAAGGAGAGCGGCCACTCCTATCCTCTTGGTGCTCAAGTACCCCCGCCCCTGATTTTCTTCATAAGACCTCTTTCAACTCTGGAATCTATACTCTAGACGGAGTCTTGCTGTGTTGCCTAGGCTGGTCTTGAACTCATGGCCTCCAGTGTTCTTCCTGCCTCAGCCTCCCAATGTACTGGGACCCAGGTGTGAAACACCACACCCTGTCTGAGGTTATCCTCTGCCATTCTTTTCCTCCCTCAGTTTGTCACCACCATACAGTCCTTCTTTCTGTTTTTCTGACACCCCAAGCTCATTCCTGCTTCAGGCCTTTTACTTTTGGTATACCCTGTGCTTTCAAGTCTTAATCCTATCACAAAGGTGATGCTAACATATCAGAACTTTGTAATCATTTGAGTCATAGCTCAACTGTCACCTCTTTAGAGAGACCTTTACTGACTACTTCTTATTTTGTTAACAGTTTCATTGAGGTGTAATTTACATACCATAAAATTCACTAATTTTAACTGTACAATTTTCTTACAGAGTTGTGCAATTATCATTATGAATCAGTTTTAAACCACATCTTCCCAAAGGAGAGATTTCCAATCTTTCCCTCATGCCCATTTACAGTCAATTTTACCTAGCTCCAGGCAATCTCTAATCTACTTTCTGTCTCTATAGATTTCCATTTTCTGGATATTTTGTTTAAATGAAATAAGTAATATGTGGTCTTCTGCATCTGGACTCTTTCACTTAACATAGTGTTTTTGAAATTCATCAATATTGTAGCAGGTATCAGTAATTTGTTACTTATTATTGCTAAGTAGTATTTCATTGTATGGATATTCTCCTTTTACCTCTCTGTTCACCAGTTGATGGACATTTGGGTGGTATCCCTATTTTAGCTAATATGAACAATACTGCTCTGAACATTTACATACAAATTTTGTGTGACGTGTTTTCATTTCTCTTGGATACCTGGGAATAGAATTGCAGAGTCATATGATAAATTTATGACTATCTTAAAGGAGCTGCTTTCCAAATAGGCTGCTCCATTTTACATTTCCACAAGCACTGATGAGGGTTCCAGATTTTCCGAATTCTCACCAACCTTGTTATTGTCTGTCCTGCATTTTTTTAAAGTAGCCATGCTGGTGGGTACAAAGTGGTACTCACTGTGGCCGTCAGCTGCATTGCCTGAATGACTAATGATGCTGAGATTTTTTTTTCATGTGCTTAATAGCCATTCATATGTCCTCTTTGGTGAGCTATTAGAATCTTTTATAGAATAAAAATAATAATGTAAAAAATTTAGTAATAAAGTTAAAGAACATTATTTTTTAAATATTTATTTTTTTTGTAAATAATTAGGGCACATGTATTATTACATTGAAATTTTCCTAAGAATGCGGTTTGAGTTTGTTTAACACAAACAAGAATAGTGCAGAATTATACTATTCTTCATATACAGAAATGGAAGTAGGACCTTTTGTTTCTTTTCTTTCCTGTCATCATTATCTTGATTAATAAAGGTGAAAGAGTCTGCATTTATGCCTTTTCTTATGGTCGTTTTCTGCCACAAGTTCAAGATACGTTTTAAGCCATGGGTCACACCTATCTTTGCCCTCACTTATGAAGACTGATCATGGTGTCATTAGAAGCAATGTCATATTATTGTAGAACAACTGTCCTTTCTGCAAGGAAATTATTGTCCCAAGAGATTGAAAATTAAACTATTTAAATGCAGGTTCATTTATTATTATGATAGTGCTCTGACTGAATAAAGTTTTCTGGGAATGTTTAATGACACTGAGATACTGGCCTAGAGTCAGTACTTTCCTTCTGATACTGACGTTCTTGTGTTCAGAGAGCACAGTACCCAGAAACCCCAGGTCTACCCCAGCTGTGTCAAAAGAAGTGGTATACAGTGGAAGCAGAACACCTTAACATCGCAAGGCCTGCCCAGCTCTGAGGGTTCAAGTACATGTCAACACTTCACTTGCTCATGTCTCAACTCATGCAACATTCCCCAGCTCACCTCGTACTTACCTGTCTACATATACTTTCATTATGGCTTTTGATTTAAGTATTTATTGCAGCTAGGCTTGATTTCCTTATCCATCATCTAACCTGAGTCAGCCTTAATGACTAAATAATTAATTCAATATCATGATAGATCAGTCACTCTGCCAGACAATTTAGATTTTCTTTTTTGAGATGGAGCTCAGATAAAGAAAAGCTTTTAGGACAGGTTTTTGTATTCTAGGAACACAGGTGGAGAACAGTCTTTACCCTTGTATTTTCTCTCAAAGTCTTATTCATTCTGAAGCAACTGATCAAATGGGAGTTATCCATCACATAATTCTCCATGTAAACAGCTAGTTGCCTGATTAAATTATCTTGAGGAAAGAAATGTGGCCCAGTAAAAGTAATATTCCTTAGTCAACTTTGCATTTAGAGATGGCCAAGTAACATAATTTTACCAGTCTATTCAAATATTTGATGGGTATTTCTGTAAAAGATTTGTTTTCCTGAATTATGTATGTATGTAGTCTCTCTTTACAATCTCTTTTTCTTTGTTATTTTCCCCTTTTCCTCTGTACTTAGAATGCTGATTAAATAACTGAGCAATAATTGTGCCAGCCAGAAGATAAAAGCCATATGATAGAAATGGAGGAATGGGAGGCTAGACAGAATCTGTCTTTACAACTTCCTGGAACCCCTTAACAAGCTTTACATTGCCTAGTACCAAGGTTCTTCTTAAAACAAAAAGTAAACCTATTTTTTAAGCTTTGGTTAAGTTAATGCTCTGACATACTCAGGCAAAAGCAACCCCTAAAGTATACACCCTTAGTTCCTGGGGGAATCATTGCGGAAAGTAATTTCCCCCAGTTTCCTAGGTGAGCACTCTGGCATTTAGCAATGCAGACATCCCTGCTAATCAGCACAAAGGGGCTGAGACCAGCGTAACCAAATATTAGAAAAATTTTAATAATTAATATATAGAAATTATTTGTCAAGCTGAAACCTATGTAGAAGGAGAAAATCAAATCTGCCCAAGAAAAGAAAAGGAAACAGGTTATGAGAATGAGAGTATTTTGAGTATCCTGATCTCTGGGCTGGAATTATTTGCACACCTGGAGTTCTGAAGGTAGAAGACACGCTTGTGATGTTTATACAGATGATAAGCCATGTGCCCACTGCTCCAGCCCATGTGACTCTGAAAGACGATATCCCGAAGAGCCATGAGAGAGAAAAAGCCACCTAACTGTTTGCTTAGATGGTAGCATATAGCAATAACTAATATACAGTCTAATTTCAGACCTGTTCATGCTATTAACTGCTCTAATGTAGTAGAGCAAGTTGGAGCTTATCAGAAAATTAAAGACCCAAAAGAGGAAGAGATAAGGAAGAACTTGCCATGCAGTCCGTAGTTTGAGCTTTCTCTACAAGGTGGTCCTGGGACTGATGGCGATGGCCTGGACCACACTGAGGAGACAGGTGGTACAGATGGAAAGGCCCTGAGCGACCCTCCCTAAATAAATTGAAGTTTTACAACCAACATTATCTAGGAAGTTTCTGAAATTAAAAACTGCAGTTATATCTTTTCTATTTGTAGTACAAATAATGATTATATTTGAGAAAACCAAATGAAGGAGGATATGTTCTATGGGTTTTTCTCAGAACCTATGACAAAAGTATATACATGTCATACAATTATAAGGAAGTTTCCCACAAATCCAGGTCCAGTTAGGAAAGGGAAGACTATTCCCCGGATCAGGTTACTCCAAGTCATCTTCAGACATCATGGACAGAGCTAGGAAAAAACCTTTTGTGAAATACAAATAAATAAAGATGATATATTTTTTCATCTGTGGCTTTTCTCTGTGTTAATTTCAGTGAAAAGAACAGTTTCAATTATGAAATATGTAAGTGTACACGATTCTGTCGTAGGAAACCCCTCATCTTATTTTTTATCTCTTTCTTCTGTTCTTTTTGCTGCCATTGGTACAGAGATGATAACTACAATTTAAACATAAACTTCATATCATGCTTTCACTTGCTTTTCCAAGAGATCCTTCTATGTATTCTTCATGTCTAAAATTTACATGACAATTTTATATGACAATATAATATTTATATTATATGACAATATAATATAAATTAATATATATATATATAATATATAAATGTGTATTCTATATTTATACATAAAATATATAATTATTTTAAAATGTATTTATATATTTTAAATCTTTTTACACAGATGACATTTTGTTGATGCTTAAATGCTGAATCTATCTGAATGTGAAGCATGTTTTTAAAAATAGTTTTCGATCATGATTCCAAAAATAACTTGGAAGACCAGTCAGCCTTCCCTCCTCTAATATTTTTCTTATTATTCAGTAAAAAAAAAAAAAGGAAGTGTTTTATTAGTATCACAGAAGCTAGTCCCTAATCTGAAGCAGAGCTTTGGAACTTTGGGAAGATGAAGAGGGGGCCAGAAAACTGTGAAACCCTAGAAAAAGATAAGAAGAAACAGACATGAAAATATTTGATAAGGACATCAGGGTAGTGAAGTGTATACAGGACATTCATTTTTGACAAATTCCAGATCTCTAAATATGTAACCATTTCTTATTCCACACCTATGAGTTAATACTGCTGTTCTTGTTATTAAAGCCTGTAGCTTATTTCACTATGGGCTGTCCTGTTCAGATCATGTGAGGCTTTGTTTAATGCATTGGTATAGATGTTAGTCTGTCCATTTGGCACTGGAGGAAACTGAGGCAGAAAGGCAATAACTAATATTCCTAAAGTTACAAAGTTTCCTGGCATAAGAGATGGGTACAAGCCTAAATTCATGCAGTTCATGTTGCCAGAGACATTTAAGACAAATTAAGATAAATCTAAGGCATCTGTTATTGATTGATAGGCTATGAAAGGGGAGAAGGCTTGTAGAAAGGCATTCCAAAGTCAATCCCGGTTAGATCAAACATCCTGGTTTCTTTTGTTTTGGGGATTTATTTGTAGTTTGATATAAGTTCTAGATAAGAAGTGGGACCAGAGAGGTTAATTGTGAAAGAGTAAACTTTTGTTCAGACCTAAAAGTAAAAATCAGCTTGGACTGGTAAAGATCAAAGTAGTCTTTCTGTTACCAACATTGGGAGTACAGACAAAGGTAGATCTGGTTACAGAGTCAACTGGACACATTGGTTACATAGCAGCTGTCTAATGCCGTAATTGCACCGTTTGAGTGATGACTCTTTTCTTAACAATGTGTCCCCAACTTGCTTTGTATATCCAGATATCAGTGATCTCTAATTTATAAACTGCTTTCATCTTGTGACAGTATGCAACAACTCGTTTATCTACTTCTCCTAATCCCCTTTGAGAAATATCCACACATCAACAACTCCCCTTAGAGGACCCTCAGATCCATCAGTGGGAACTCACACCTCTCCTAAATGCCCTCATAGAGTGACATTCCATGGTTCCTCTCGGGCACCTTCCCTGGCTATATCCAGTTTATGTATCTGATTGATTTTCAGTCCATAGGCTTGTTCCTGTTTTTGGCTGATTAACCATTAATGGTTGAGGTCCTACAGTGAAATGCTACGCAGTTTGACTTGATGAGTACTTGGAAAACCCACTGAAAACTTGTAAGTACTGAAATCACACATTCAGTTAGGGGTCTTGAAAGATAACTCTGAAATATTGAGGAATATGAATCAAAGATATGAAAATTAGGAAGAAGACATTAAAACCAGAAATCGTTATACTAATCAAAATGATAGATATATAGGCATAACAAATAAAGGAAGTATCACAGAAGATAAAAAGTTGCTAAGCTTGAGAAATGTTAAAGACATTGAAGCAAAATAATTTTATGTGTGTCTGTCTGTTGGATGTGGAAGAGGCAGAGGTCAAGGGTGAGCACCAGGCTTTTTAAATTGGCTGATAGGAATATGACAGAATGAAGTAGAAAATGGAGACATTCAGGTTGGGGGAATTTTTTAGTTCAATTCAGCGTATGCTGAGATTTAAAATATGTGGGATATATGAAAATTTGAACAACCAAGTTGGCATTGCAGCTCTGGAGATCAGGAAAAAAACCTGTCTCCCAAATTTAGATTTTTGTATCCTCTTCCAAGATGACATTTAAAGTCACATTGAATGTTCATCAAAGAGTGTCACAGGGAAAGGATTACAGTTCTTTGGACAAAAATCTGCTCTGTTATGTATATTATGACTTTATCCGCTAGAAATGTGCTATGATATGAATTTTTTTTACAGATACAGACATATCATTATAACTGTTCCTTTCTTCACACAGCATTTCCTGGATCCAAACATTTTTTTGTTCATGAAGTTAGAAATGGTTTTGAACATTGTCAAGGGAACAATATTCCTGTTTCTCACTGGAGTTGGCATTGTGGGGAATGTTTTTATTTTTGCAAACTATATGTGCATTTTCTTTTGGGGCACTGAGAAGAAATCTTTACACTTTATTCCTATCCATTTAGCTTTTACAAATACCATACTTCTATTTTCCAAAGGAATACTCAAGACAATAGCAGCTTTTGGTTTGAGAAACTTCCTAGATGATATAGGCTGTAAAATTGTTGTTTATCGGGGCCGTTGCATCTGCCCCAGTAGCTTCCTCACTGTAGTCCAGGCTGTCACCATCGGTCCCAGAGCCTCCATGTGGGGGAAGCTCAAGCTGAGGTCAGCAGGGCATGTCCTTCCCTTGTTTCTCTTTTCTTTTTTCTGGGACACTCAATTCCTTGATAACGATGAACTTACTCTATTCCATCACAAAGAGCAACATGAACAGATCACAAATTAGTGAAAATGATAACTACTGTTATTTTCTAGTAAGGAGATGGGTAATAAGACGGATTTTTCTCACACTGATAGTCTGACAGGAGGCCCTGTTTCAGGGTCTCATAGGCTGGGCCAGCAGCCATGTGGTGTTTCTTCTCCACCAACATCACAAGCATGTTCTCCACATTCAGAACTCCAAATTTCTGTACAAAACTCCCTCCGAGATAAGAGCTGCTTAAAG